CCTTCAGTACATAGGCGATGTTCTAGTTCCAAAACATTTCATAACCCCAACAGAAAGGCCCGTGCTCCGTATTCCCACACCCCACCAGGCCCTGGCAACCACTGACCTGCTTTCTATCTCAGTGGGGTTGTCTCCTCCGGACAGTTCATAGAAATGGAATCCTGCAATCCAGGGCCTTGGATGCTTGGCGTCTTTCACTCTGCATGGTGTTTTAGAGGGTTGTTCATCTTGTAACATAAATCGGTGCTTCATGTCTTTGTATGACTGGATAATATTCCATTGCATGGCTAAACTCAAAAAACCTAAACACATAAAAAATCCACTGCCATCGAATCAATTATGACTCCCAGTGGCCCTACAGGACAGAGTAGAATGTCCCATGTCACATCTTTCTCCCACAGAGAAGCTGGTGGGTTTGAACTGCCAGCCTTTTGGTTAGTAACCAGCCCCATTAACCACAACTACCAGGGCTTGCTCAGGCTCTACTGCATTTTGTTTATCCCAGTCAGCAGTGGATGGACGGACACTCGGCGGTCCCCTCCGCTTGGTTCTGAATAACGATGCGCTGAGTACTGTTGTTGAAGGACTTGTTTGAATACCTGTTTGCGGTTCTTTGGAGATATTGGGCATCCCACCCATCTTACATCACCCTGTTTCCCTGGGCCTTTGTGGCATTTCACAACCACTCGTGAGAGCCCTTCCTCGGTTCTGTCCTGGACTCCAAAGTTGGACTGACGAGTGTTCTCAGCACTACCCGCCAGGCTCCTCACCCACTGTCCCCGGGCCCAGCCCAGACCTGGAGGCCTACACCCATGCTCCTTTCTTTCTTAAAAATAAGATGTTATTGTGAGGAAAGCACACGTTTCCAGCAGATTAGATTCCCACGGAACAATTTCTATGTGCATTTGCCCGCACTATTGGTTACATTTCTCACACTGTGTCATCATTCCCTTCCAATCCATGCTGGTGGCACCCCTCCCCCTGTGCTGGTTTCCTGGCCCCTCCCCTGCTCATCTTCGCTTCGAGGGATTTTTGACCCTTTGCTCTCACGCAGGTGATTTTTTCAAAGGAGTGCGTGACTCAGGGCTGATAGTCCACCCGTTATCCAGCTGAAAGCTGCCTGCGAGCCATCGTGTCAGCCGAAGGCTGAAAGATGATCTCAGAGCGACGGTATTGGGAGTCCTCTCCTTGCAGCTGGCTCAGTGAGTTGGGACTTTGAAATGATTTGAGTTTTGTCCACATTTTTCTCCCATCCCATCAGGCGGCATCTTTGGGGCCCTGATCAGAGTCGTGCGGTAATAGCTGGGCACCATCTAGTTCTCCTGGTCTCAGGACAGCGATGCCCCTGGTCCGTTACCTGCTCTTAGATGAGCTGCTCTTCTGAGCCCTTGGTTCTCTTCTCGCACTTTTGTTTTGGGTGAGCGGAGACCCGTAAGGTGTAGCTTAACTGGCCACTCCCAAGCTTTTAAGACCCACAGATGCTGCTCACCACGTTAGGATGTAGACTGCACCCTGTACAAGCTCTGTCCTGCCACGGAGCCAAGTTGTCCATGATAGGCTGGTTCCAGGCCATCCAACCCATGAAACCAATCCCTCAACATGGATGGTTATGACTGAGGCGTGTCTGTAACTCTGTCCCCTAGGTGGTTTATTATATAATACTCCTTTCTTTTCACTCGTCCTGAGCAAAGGAGAGTGGACAAAAGAATTAACCAGTTAATCCGCTTGATCAAGAGAACACTGAGGAGTTAATGAGCTGACAAATGAGTGTACAGTTTATTCCAAGACAGTCATTGGCAAACTTTCCACCAAGGTCAGGCTGTGAGTGTTAATTTCCGACATTGCTGGTGGACGATCTCCATCCAAACTGTGCGACGCCGCCGTCACTGCAGAACAGCATCCACAGGCTGTGGTGGCGTGCAGTCTTCACGCGGCTATTCTTCTGGGGTGGGGCTATCCAAATAGGCTGTGTATAACCCTACTGGAGGGGACTGGTCAATTTTTGTGGCCGCCCCCCTCACTACCAAGATGAGCCATCTTTGAAGCAGCAGCGGAGAAAAAACACAGGACCTTCGTATGAGCATGTTCCAGATCTGTCTGCAGTGGTGGACGCTGAGATTAGAGGCTTCAGAGACGGTGGCATAGAGCGAGACGAGGGGCCAGAGCAGAGGAGCAGTGCGGAGACCGTGAGATAGTGAGGCACAGGCTGGGGACCAATGACTGTGTCCCTACAATGTCCTGATCCTGATTTGCTGCAGTCTGTTAACTTCTCTAAGAAGCCCCTTCGCATTGTGGATCTTGTCTGTGAGTTCTGCATACTCACTGCGATGACTGATCAAACCCAGCATAGAAGTGGAGGGCCCTGGGAGGAGCCGTTGGCATCAGACTAGATGGAGAAGGATCAAGTCTGACCCCGGCCTCTTGGCTAGGGGGAATCCAAAGGAGGTCAAAACAGGGCCTCTCACACCATCTCCTGCAAGGGTGGATGTAGTTGTGTGCCAATGAAAGTGTGTGTAGACACACCAATTTTTTGGATTTCATATCATTTTCACGTGCGATGACATATCATTCTTCTTTGGGTTTCCTTTACATGTAAAGTTATTAGAAATCCAAACGGTGATTATCTCTGGACAGGGGGTACAGGGGTCACCTAGCCAGAGACTCGAAGGTGCTTTCTGGTCTTATGGAAATGCTCTGTTTTGATAGTAGTGTTGATTACACAGGCATAGACTTTTGCCAACTTTCATCCTCCTGTAGTGTGGTCACGGTCTGTGTGGTCCCTCCGACTAAATGGTATTCTGGGGGCAGTGGTGGCCCACTGGCAGGATTCTCACCTTCCCTGAAGGGGGCTCCCAGTTCAATTCCTGGCCATTGCCCCTCATGTGCAGCCAGCACCCATCTGTCGACAGAGACTGAAGAGCTGTCAGCAGAACTTCCAGACTAGGAGTAGAAGGCAAGACTGGCAATCTGCTTCTAAAAATGAGCCATCGAACACCCTGTGGATCCCAATGACTCCATCTGTAGCCAGTGATGGGGCTGGCACAGGACTCGGTAGCTGTGTTAGCCTGGGTTGACGACAGAAACAACGTCCAGAGACACTCATATGTGTGTAAGAGAAGCTTTATACCAAAGAGCAATCATATGTTAACAGCCCAGCCCAGTCCAGACCAAGCCCATAAGTCCCCTATTTGCCCATATGTCCGGTACTAGTCCAGGAATTCCTCTTCAGACTCATGCAGCACATGCAATGATGCCAAATGCAGGAAGATCACAGGCCAGTGGTGGGTGAGCAGTCTTGTGGATCCAATGCTGGTGGAAGCATCTCAGCACGGGTACAGGTCTCCACGGGACTCCTCAACAGGAGGGTAAAGCAGGGGGAGTGTGTGGGCAACTTCTAGGGAGAAACAGAGGAAGTTCCCACAATCCTCAGGAGAAGGCCACGCCCACAAGGAGACGTCATCAAGCTGTGACCTGACAGGCAGGCTGGACGCCACCCCTATATTTATTTATCAAGGTAACGTGAAATTATGTGCATACGGGTGATGGGTTGGGGGAGGAATAGGCAGCTCAAAAGTGGCTGGAAATAGATAGTAACGTCAACGCGATTCCTAGCTTGTGGCTGTGCAGCAACCGGCAGCCGGCTGTCGTTGGTGACCCTGCTCTAGAAGTGTGAGCTTCAAACAGGACCCAAGCACGTGGATATTCTCTGCACAGAGCTGGTTGGGGGCCGTGGGGTTTGGAAAGGAGAAGGTTGTAAATGGCCGCACGCTGTGGGTTCCGACATGTTTAAGTGCTAAGCCCTGCTTCCCGAGGTTCTTGGCACCAGAAATCTGGCGGTGGACACCTGAAACCCATGGCTGTGCTGCCTCAGCGTTGTGTTAGCATGTTCCTTGGCGGGGCCGCATTCTAGAAATAACTTCCGCCCCCACTCTTATTTTTAACACCCTTCCCCGGTGAGTAAGAGCCCTGGTAGCATAGTGGTTACTTACTGGTCTGCTAACCACAAGGTCAGCAGTTGAGCCACCAACTGCTCCCAGGGAGAAAAAGGAGGCTTTCTCCTCCCGTAAGGAGACACCGTCTCGGAAACCCACAGGGCAGCTCTACCCTGTCTTACGGGGTCAGGATGAGTCAGCATCGACTCAGTGGCAGCGAGCTTGGTTTTGGGTTTTACCCCATGAATGGACTTCCAGCTTCTCCCTCGGAGAATAACAGGACCCAGAGACGCGAGTCCGGATTCAGAATGCCCGAGCCATGCTGGTAACCAGGCAGCTCCTCCATCCATCATCGTCCTGACAAGAGCCCTCCCCGTTCCCTGGGGACACTGCGGGCCCCTGAGCTGTGGTCTGGAGTCCAAGCAGGTTTCCCAACACCAGGAAGAAGCAAGTTTGCTAAGAGTGTTTATTTCAGGACACAGTCCATTTCGAGCAACCAAAAATGCTTCCTCGGGGCCTCTGGAAGCCAAGAAGGGCAGAGAGGGGTGGGGTAGGGGCAGGGGTGCCAGAAAGAGTGTATCTTGAGGAGAGAGGGGCTGGCTGTTCACACAAGGACCCCCAGCGGCCGTCTCTGAGGACAGAGGCCTCTGAGAGGTGTTCGGAGGACCACGGGTGCCACTAGGACCACCTTGGCGCCCGGTGGAAGGTGGTGCGGTGGTTCCAACCATGCCACCTGGAGGGTCAGAGTAGAACTGTGCTCCTCCGGCTTCTCAACACCATGACCTCTGGGAAGCCGATTGCCAGGACTTTATCCCAAGGCACACTGGGTGGGTTCACACCACTGACCTTCAGTCAGTCATCAAGCACTTCCCGGGGACCTGGAAGGTCAGGCCTCTCCAACCACTTGTCCACTGGCTTGTGCTGCCCCCTTGACCAGAGCAGGTCTGGATCGGAGAACGTTGGGGAGAAGTGGGGTAGGGGGTGGGGGCCTGGAGATGAATGACTGTCACCTCTTCTCTAGAATTTTCTGGGCTGGGCGCTGAGCTTCCCAAGGGGGCGCTCCAGGGCGCTAGTGCTCGGGCTCGGCGTCCATGCAGGACTCCCAGGGGTGCTGCGGCATTCGCGGCAGGGAGAAGAGCAGCAGGGCCAGGCTGCCCGGGAAGAGAAGGACGAAGGCGGCGCAGGCGCACGCGAAGGACCAGGAGTAAAAGTACTCGATCCAGGCAGTCTCCTCGCTGTCGATCATGCGCTTCACCGACTGCCGCATCACCTCCACCGAGACCAGGATGCAGAGACCTGCGGATGGAGCAGGACACTCAGGGCTCCGGGCACCGCCCGCCCAGCGCAGCCTGCACTCCTGGGACCAGGCGCTCCTACACGCAGAGGGAGACCCCTCTGGCGTAAAACTGCCCTAAAGTGGGTTTCTGTGGGCCATATAACTGCCCACCCTCGGCCCACCCAGACTCCCAATGTGAACCGGCCCTCATCAGTCCCTCCTCCGCTTTCTTATCAAGGTGCACGTCCCAGAACATAATCGGAACCGTTTCGAAGCAAACAATCTGGCCTTTGATACAATCACAAAATTGCCCAGCCTCCTCCTCTGTGAGGTTCCAGAACTTGCCCTGTGTCCTTAAAGTCGCAGGTGCCTCAGCACCTTCGCCCCGCCCCCGGCAGCAACCATCTGGCTCCCTGGCTCCGTCCCACTCACAGTGGAGCGACCCCGCAGGACAGGGTAGAACTGCCCCTGTGGGTTTGCGATTCTCCAGCTGTTTACGGGAGCAAGAAGCTTCGTCCTTCTCCAAGGAGCAGCAAGTGGTTCAAACCGCCCAGCTTGCAGTTAGCAGCCCAACTGTAACCACTAAGCCACCAGGGCAGGAGTCGCCCTCCCCTGCAGTTCCCGTAAAGGGAGTCATGCACCTGATGGGGCCTTTCTCATCCGGGAAAGGTGCTTTCAGCACGATGTTCCTGGGACCCGGCTGCCTGGCTTCCTTGTTACCTGGTCTGGGAAGAGTCCACAGGTGAGGACAAGTCACAGTCATTTCTCCGTGTGGCCACCCAGGGACACTTGCTTCGCCTGTTGTGGACAGTGCTGCCGTGGCCGTGCGCACACCAGAGTCCCTGCCCCTCCGGGTGGTTCTCTGTGCAGCGAATGCTGCTCTTGGAGGCTAACCCCCTTGTGAGAAGCAGACAAACGGCCAAGATCGGCCTCCCAGCCCTCCTGGGGTCCAGGTCTTGCCCAAGCTCGGCTGGCGGGTGGAGCCTGGGACCCACATGAGAATGAGGTGTGGGTACCCCATGTCATTACACCACCGCCACCCAGATCCAGGGGGCCCCCCTACCTGCGAAGGCGTAGAACATGGCCGCGGGCCTCAGCAAGTAGTCCCTCTTCTTCCCAAAGGACAGGAGGAGGCAGATAGTGGCCAGGACCACGAAGCCGAGGCTGATTACCGAGATGGCGGCCGCCGAGATGCTGTACTCTGCTTGGCGCCAAGGGACAGGGCGCTCGGTGGTCCGTCCACAAGCCCCTCACCCCCGGCGCTCCTGTCTGCCGCCCTCCCCCGGGGCTAGTGACCCACCATGCACATCACCCCCTAACACATGGGAGAAATCGAGGGCCAGCTGAAAGGTCATTGAATGGCGAGCGGGGACCTCATCGTGCCTCCCACCACGTGCCCCACGTTGCCCAAGGCACTGCTTTGAAGTCCACCAGCGGCCAAGGACTTAAGCGGAGGCGAGAGCCCGTTCTAGCACAGAAACCTTCTTCTGAGTGGCAGGGCAGGGGGACACGGTGTCCGGCCAGCTCTCTGCCTAGCCACAGGCCCCTGGACAGAAGCCAGAGTAAGGCGGGGAC